AGTAACAAACAACAAAACTTTAAGCTTCGACCATTACAAAAAGAGATGATAGAAAATACGGTAGACAATCCTTCCATAAGAAGGGTCCCGTCACCGATGGACAGAAATGAATAACGCGAAGCATAGGGATAACCCTTTTTTGTCTTCTCATATTATTTTGCAGGTTGACCGACATCTCTCCCTCCTCACCGCTCTGGGCAGATTCACTCAGAGAGACTGGACAGGCTGCACGCCACCTCACTGTCTTACACCACCTTCATTGGTGCCTGTCCAGCATCCACGTCCCAGTGTTGTTGTTTGTCTAAAACCCGAGTCACATTAGCTAAACACCAATGGAGCCTTTGATCGACTTACAGGAGGTGCAGGAGGTGGGAGCCTGATTAGGGATCATAGTGGCGCCCTTATCGCTGCGTTTCATGCCCCTCTTCGGGCCTCTTCGAGCTATGACGAGGAGGTTCAGACGCTTCAGATCGGTCTGCAGATTGCCGCCTCGATCTCCTCCCACATTTCTATAGAGTTGGACGCGGCCGCTGTCATCACTTTTCTGTCATCAGGACATCAGGGCACGTGATAGATCCAGCACCCTCTCATGCGCATCAAAGCCACTCTCCAGACGATTCACTTCCGGATCTCGTACATCTTCCGCGAGGAGAACCGGCCAGCTGACTTCCTCGCAGGCATCGAGTCCTCCACCCCTCACAGACGCATTCTTTATCCTTACGATATCCTTATCCGTCTTCGCACCCTCATACGGATGGACCAGATAGGGTACCCCTCATTCAGATTTGTGTAGCCGGACCTACCTTTTGGCTCACCCGCCACATGGTGACGCTGACTTTCTATCCGGGGCTCTAGCCCGGAACATGATCTGTTATTTTCATATTTATCGTTGCAGTTGTTAGCTTTTCTATGTATTTTTTTTTTCTTTGTTGTTTTTTTTGTTTTTTCTTTGACTTGATGTATATCAGACATTAGATTTGTAAATTTGTGACTTTTCGGTCCATTTAGGGCATTTTATATACAGGTTGGGGGTTCGGCCTCAACCCCCCACCCTACTGAGGTGTTGGTTTAAAAAAAAAAAGGGTCCCGTCACCGACACAGCCCGATAAACTAATTGGTGGGCAATCATATTAAGATTCCTATCTGCATGACAACAAGACCTGCAATTGGGGTTTGACAAAAGCAATAAAATGTCTACAAAAACTTAATGCAAGGTGTCATTAGGTGAAAGCTCATTCAATCCATAAATAACTGCTAAGGCATCCGTTTTAGCACATTAAATTGAAAAATCCACATCATAAGCAAAACGCAATCCAAAATAAAACGCAATCCAAAATAAATTATTGCATGTCATTGTATTATATTATTTGGAAAAGTTATTATGAGGGAGGAGGTACTTTTATTTTTTATTAAATTCTACTTTTTTTTCTCATAGGGTCCTTGTTTTATTTAATAAATTGCAGGCAAGTAAGTGCAAAGCCACGAGGATATTCATGTAGAAGTAGCATTATGATTTGATATAGCAAAGGATTTGAATATAATTATTGCTGAGTACATTACTACAGGGTTTATAGGGAATGGATTAAAATAGGTAGTAAAGTTTTTTTTGTTTGATTCACATTATCGTAGGTGTTGTAATATTGATTGCTACATAGTTATATCTATATCTATATATATATATATATAAAGAATTATCATTAAATAGTAAGCAAAAAATCTACCAACATTAAGTACATACTATTTTGAGTAATTTTTTATATATATTTCAAAAAGTCAGAAAGCATTTGACTTGGTAAAAAATCGGATATGTATCTTCACTTGCTAATTAATGTTTATTATTTATTTATTTTCAAATGGTAAAAGAATTTTTATAATTTCTGTCTCTTTAATTTTGCATTACAAAACAAAATTCAAATGAATTCCGTAGATTAAGAAACACGTGATGCTCAATTAAATAGAAAAATTTTATATTAAAATTTATTTTGAAATCTCGATTTGTTCAGATCACTAACATACTACAAAAATTTAATAAATATGCATTAGATCACTGCTTTGTTCAGACCCATGTTCGTATAATCGTATCAAGTCATCATGTCAATTACATGATCAATTATTTAATTTTAATTTTCTAAAAAATATATATAAGTAATAAACAATTAGTTTGTCTTCTGTATTATAATTTCGAGTCATAATATATGGCCATTTGTTATAAACATTTACTATATGAATCACAAGTTATTTTTTATTTCATAAAATTAATTATATTTACGACAAAAAAAATGAAATTTATTTGGATCAACCGGTTCAGTGAATCAGGTTATTGTACATGTTTATTGGACCAATTTTTTTATCATTTGTAAAAATCGCCGAAAAATATGACATAACTTTTGTTGCATCTTGGGTGACCATGTTATGAGTCAAATTGACTGAATTAAATCGATTATTGAAACTGTAAATATAATACAATTCAAATAAATAAAGTAAGAATGTTGTCATGAGGTAATGAAGATGAATGTTTAGTTATATATTGTGGGAAAGACTACAATCCATTACGGAAATATTTTGTCAAAGTTTTTAACTGTTAGATACACATGTAGATTAGTGGAGGATAAATAATATACTGTTAAAACTCCCCGACGGAATAGTGTCGTAACAAGCTTTCCCTTTAGTTTATAATTCAATTGTTTTATTGTTTACCCGTGCATCGCACGGGCCACGTACTAGTTTCTCATAAATTTATATATACTTTTTTTTGGAGTGTCCACTGCAATCCAAATTTTATCCTATGCTGGGAACACCAATTCTTGAAGTCTTGATTGTTAAAAAAATAACTGTCATTTTTCACTAGATATTTATTTTGACTCAAAATTTAATTCAACATATCTCTTCTTAATATTATCAACATAGTTAAATAATATCAATCAATTATCTTTAGACATTACATAAATATTAAAATTCA